CACTGTATTGGCTGCCACTCACCCAACAAATTAACTACTTTCCGACCGCCCTATAGCAGAAGTACTGCTACAGAGCGGCAGGGATGTGCAAAATCACGTATATATACGTGATTTTGTTTTTCCAGCACACTCCCTACCCGCGCCGCTATTGGCTCCTCAGCATGTCAATCACCGATTCTCAGCCGGGACTTGGTGATCGTCGGCAGAGCTGAGAAGGGAGAGGTCTGTATGTAAAGAACACAGATCTCTCCCTGGTCAGCATGAACAGGCTGCTTTGTATTGCTTTGCATAGCAGAGTAATACAAAGTGTAGCAAACTTGCTCATCAGAAATGGACGTGGAGTTCCCCTTTTTTATTATAAGTATTCCTCAATTCTTTATTCCCTACCCCCTCCCTTCCTAAGAGGCACAGGGACAGATGTGTAAGTGTTAAAAGTTGCTGGCAGGCTGGAGCAGCAGGGGGCCCAGCGCTACAAAGCCCCCCCATAGAGACAGCAAACTCTCTGTCCCAAGGCCTGTGTAAAATTACACCTCCTAACCAAGATAAGATAGTCTTTTCCCCGGTCTTGAAAGAAGGTCGAACCTCATAAAACCTACCAGGCAGGTGACAGAAGTTAAATGAATATTCCTCAGGTCAGCTGTCACCTATGCTTCATAACATGGATTATGAAGCTGTCAGTTTTAATGCAGAGCCCATCCGACGATCCCGCCCAAAACAGGGTATTGGCCAGTTACTCAGCGCCACCCCCCTTGCTGGGGGACTTTAAAAAACACAGGCTGTAGGCCTGAAGCTAAGCTAAACACCTCTCCCAATTTTAACATCGTAACAGCAGGAGATCAAAAACCCTTCGCTCTGCAACTTGGATCTGCTTATCTTAAGGCTGAACATGGCAAGTAACTTAAACTTTTAACTTCTCCCTGTTATCTCTTTGCTGTTTTCTATGTATATATAAATACATATCTTAGTTACATTTTCTTTGTAAATATTTTATTGCTCCTGTTTGACTCTTTTACTAATAAATCTTTCTTTCTGAAAGTGTTAAACTGTTTCTAAGCGCTTACTTGCAATTCACGAATTCCTGCCTTTGGAAGAGACGCTACTGTGTTTGTTTAATCCTCTGCCCAATCGGCCTGCGGTGACCGCATTGGACAGGCGACTTTTCAACCATTACAGTGTATATTGGATAAAGAGAGTTTCCCCTTTCTCTTTACAAAAAGGGGTGGTGGCAGTGAAGGGTTAGTTGCGTAATTAACCCGACCCAGTAACAAGCGCATTCAGACTGCAGGCACCGATTGTAGTCCATTAGCTGGAAAATCGCTGTGTAGGGTGCAGCTGGGTGTGGCCTTCTTATGCACGTCACATCACGGTTTTAGATCGGCCGGTCCTTCGGTCACGAGTTTGGTGAGAAGGTCTGGGGTGTGACGACGCGGGCGTGACGTATTGTTGGTCGCGGTCGTGTGATTGTCGCATGTTGAGGGTGGCGATCGTGCGTCCATGACACAAAGCAGCATGTCTCCCTAGTAAATCACACACAGCACACTATATAAAACACAACACAGCTCACTGTTAACCCTTTGAGTGTCATTAATACAGTGTCAGTGCTTTTCTTTAGCACTGATCACTGTATTAGTGTCACTGGGGATGTCAGTGACAGTCAGTTCCCCCCAGTGTCAGAATGCCCGCCACAGTCCCGCTATAAGTCGCTGATTGCCACCACTACTAGTAAAAAAAAAGAAGAAAAAATTCCAGTATATATTCCATTTGTAGACGCTATAACTTTCATGTAAACCAACTAATTTACACGTATTGGGTTTTTTTTTAGCAAAGACGTGTAGCAGAATACATTTTGGCCTAAATTTATGAAATTTTATTTTTTAAAATTTTTTGGGGGTATGTTTTATAGCAAAAAGTCAAAAATAGTTTTTTTTTTCAAAATTGTCAGTGTTTTCTTGTTTATAGTGCAAAAAATTAAAAATGCACAGGTGATCGAATACCACCGAAAAAAAGCCCTATTCATGGGAAAAAAAGGACATAAATTTAATTTGGGTGCAGCGTTGCATGACCGCGCAATTGTCAGTTAAAGTAACACAGGGCCGTATCGCAAAAAATAGAATGATCGGGATGGGAGTAAATCCTCTGGAGGGCAAGTGAATAAATTCAAAACACTTAACAATGCCATCCACAACTCGGTCCCTCAGTCACACCACTAACCTAGTCTCAAAATACCAACCAAATCACTCTCTAGTTCTCTTGTCACTTCTTCCCATGCTCGCCTGCAGGACTTCTCTATAGCCTCTCCCATCCTATGGAATTCCCTACCCCAATCTGTTCGACTATCTCCCCTACTTTGTCCACTTTTAGATGATCCCTGAAAACGTTTCTCTTCAGAGAGACCTATCCTGCCTCCACCTAACAGTACATGTATTTTCTCCATCAGCTCGTCCCCCACAGGTATTACCTTTTGTACCACTTGACCCTCCCCTTTTAGATTGTAAGCTCTAAAGAGCGGGACCCTCTAATTCCTCCTGTATTCAAGGTTATTGTAACTTTACGGTTTGCCGTACTGTTGGCGCTATATAAATCCTATATATTATAATGAGTCTTCATCCATTTTGTCACATATGCGCAGTATGAAAAGGCTGATTTTTTAACAGGCGGAAAACATGTTAACCTTTCAATTCATCGTTCATTTGGAAGACGTTTTCCTACCTGTTACTTTGATTTTTTTTTGTTCTGAAAACTCAAAAACGATTCTCTATTTGTACCCATTGACTGGACAAAAAATGAACGAACAGTCTAAATCAGGGATCCTCAAACTACGGCCCGGGGGCTACATGCGGCCTACCGAGGCCATTTATCCGGCCCGCCGACAGGGGCGTATTTTCTGCGAGGAAGGAACACTAAGTACAGGGGGCTGCTGTACCTTACCTGGCTCCGATCCCAGTCCCACGACGATCCAGTCCAGGAAGCGCTGCTCCTTCATTTACTCCGGCCACTCCCTCACTCCTACTGCTCAGCTCCGCCTCCTCCCCGGTGATTGGGCGCCAGAACGGTAGCTCAAGAAAGGCACACAGGCAGCCAATCACCTGCGAGGAGGCGGAGCTGAACGGCCCCACGAACATCGAGTGAAGGAGAGGGCCGGAGTGAAGGACAGCTGATAGGTAAGTGTGCCGTGCTGATACAACCAGGTATGCTGGCTGCAGCAGCACCATGCTGGAACAGCGGTCAGCAAGTGTCATTGGTGTCAGTGGGAGGAATAGTGCCCCATCATTGGTGTCACTGATACTAATGATGGGGCATTATTCCTCCCACTGACACCAATGATGGGGCACTATTTCTCCCCCCCACTACAACAACGATGGGGCACTATTCCACCCCCGAGACACCAACGATGGGGCACTATTCCTCCCCCCCCACTGACACCAACGATGGAACACTATTACTTCCCCCACTGACACCAATGACGTACTATTCCTCCTACTGACACCAATGATGGGACACTATTCCTCCCACTGACATCAATGATGGGACACTATTCCTCCCACTGACACCAATGATGGGACACTATTCCTCCCACTGACACCTATGATGGGGCACTATCCCCCCCCCCCCCCATGATGGGGCACTATTCCCCCCCCCCCCCACACAATGACACCAACCAACGATGGGGCACTAATTCCTCCCCCCACTGACACCAATGATGGGGCACAATTCTTCCCACTGACACCAATGATGGGGCACGATTCTTCCCACTGACACCAATGATGGGGCACTATTCCTCCCACTGACACCAATGATGGGGCACTATTCCTCCCACTGTCACCAATGATGGGGCACTATTCCGCTCCATCAGACACACTTGGGGGAAATGTCTGTGCGTCTTATGGAGTGGCCAATCCAGTATTCCCGCCGTCCCTGGTCATCCCCTGTACTGTGTCCGCATTTGTTCATAGTTTTTTTTTTTTTAAACTATAGTCCGGCCCTCCAACGGTCTGAGGGACAGTGAACTGGCCCCCTGGTCTAAATTATCGGTTTTCAAATGATTTTTTGTGTAGTGCAGGGCTCTCCAAACTATGGCCCTCCAGGTGTTGAGGAACTGCAAGTCCCACGAGATCTTGCAAGACTGACAGCCACAGGCAAGACTCCCAGAGGCATGATGGGACTTGTAGTACTTTCAACAGCTGGAGGGCCGTAGTTTGCAGACCCCCTGGTCTAGTGTATAGGGAGCATTACACTTGCCTATTTTTTCTGCTTTCAACATAACTTCAGGGACAACATGTTCACGTGCTGCCTACATCCCACCCGCTTTGAGGTGTCCTTGTAACCAGATAATCAATGTTCTACACTTTACCTTCCAGTGGTCATAATGTTATGGCTAATCGATGTATATGAAGCATTGTGTGAATTCTCAGTACTGTACACGTAACGTATATAAAAGTGAAACATCCCTGGCCGTGGGGTGGTGAAGCCACTTGCAATGGCGCCCCCTGTGTATAGCATGATAACTTTCCTCACATTCTCTGGAATAATGAGGGTGAAGTCAGAACCCCCCATCATCCCCGGGTGTAAAGTACCTCACGCACCCAGGATTAGGCGGGAAATGTCATCCTGTCAGTCATGTCACCTCTATTCCCCTGCTGTTCGTTCTGTGGGCCCGCCTAGAAATGACTGTCCTTTCTCTCAGGCAATCTGTGACTAATAAGCAGAGGCCAGGCCCGTTAGCTTACGTACAGGTCAGAACCCGGCACTGGAACGTCTTTATATATCTATACGAACAAGAAGCATTCCAGGCCATTTCCTCCTCATCGCTATACATAAAGAATAGAGCCCAATATGGAGACCGGGAGACCGCGCATCACCTCACCATCATATACGTCACTCCCCTCCCGCCACCGCGCCTCTCCACGCCCCCGCCTTCTCCCTTTATACCACTCCTCCTCCCTTGCTTTAGACCCTCTCCTATTGGTTAAACGAATTGTCAGTTTCTTTTGCGAGTAGCCTCGGCAGATGGAGGGAATGGGCGTGACCAGCCCCCTCATATAATAGGCTCGGAGCCGCCTTCTGTAGGTTCTTTTCGGGTTGTTCTCTTGCCGAAAGGAGTGGTGACTGTAAACATTCATTTCGCGCTTCAAATCGTTCGCCGGCTCGTCACTATGGCCACTAAGCGGGTGTTCTTCGATGTCACCGCCGACGGCAACCTCTTAGGCCGCATTCTTATAGAGGTGAGGGGAGTTTGAATGAATGGTGACGGCTGTGTAGAGCTACGGAAAACCGGGCTTGGCGCCCAGGTCACGTGGTGCGTCTTCTCTTTTGGGTGTGAGGTGTGTTCTGTCCTCCTATGGGGTGTGTTGGAGGCATATGAGGCGCTGTATTGTAGGGCTGGGGACTCTGTCCTAAAGGCTGGAATTCTCTGACAGGTAGGGGAGAGGTAACCGAGCACCGTGCAGGCCCTTAGGACCCCGCCTGCCTCTGCTCGGTGTGATGGCGCGCTCTGCAGCGGCTGCTTGCGGAAATGCTGCAGTGCTGGCGGCCTCTAGAAGCAGGTAAAAGGGCTCCGCCAATGACTGGTGCAGGAAGAGGGCGTGTCTATCCGGCTGTCTCCGCCCTCAGCTGTGCCGGCTCTGCTGGCGAGAGGGTGGGCTGGGAGTCCATTTTAGGATGTTCTGATCTTTAAAATGTCTCCTTTTGCTGTCTCTTCTGAGCGCCGGGCCCTGAGTGCCACACCCTCCTATCACTGGAGGGGGCCAGAGGTGTGTCAGTATCTAGATCCTTCCCGCCATCAGGAGAGCACTGATCTGCCAGGGAGGGGGTCAGAACTCCATGAGTTGTAGCTGGGAGATTCCCTGAGCTGCTGGCTGTCACTTCATTCAGGACGCAGATCTATGCTGTGTACTGATTGGAAAGCTTGATGTAATAAAAACAAACATTGCAGCTTCCAAATCTTAGATATGATGGCTGCTTTAGGCTCAGTTCACACTAGTGTTGAAAGCAGGCATCTGAGGGGTGGTTTTAATGCTCTTCAAACACCTATGAAAATGATACACATGGTGGCATGCAGTGCTGTTCACACTGAAGCCTTGCATCAAAATTGATGCCTTGTGTTAAGGGCTTTCGATGCCTCCCATGCAAGTCTATGGTGATGCTTCTCAAACATCTGGTGTTTGCAGAGTGTTAATGCCATTAAGTTCATTGTAGGTGGTTGTGGTGTAGTATTAAGGCTTGTAAGATGCATCTAAACCGTGTGTAGGGCGTTTGGGGAGCATTTTTTTTTACCGCTTGTGAAACTCCTGTACAAAGCTCATTAAACTCCTAATGCTATAGGGGTGTTTGGGAAGCAGTCAAGTGTGAACAAACCCTTCCTTTCCTTTGTAATTCAGACCATAGACAGTTTATCGGCTGATTTTTTTCCCTCCAATAATCGTTTTCTGTAAACCAATGTTGCCACCAGTGATTTTGAAAACTGGTCGTTTTTTTTCACACATTTTCCAGCATGACGATAAATGAAATGAGGAACCATGAAAATCGGCTGATGCCATTGCTCCATTAACAGGGTGAAAATTGGCCAATTTATTCTTTTGGATGAAAAATCGGCTGATAAACGAACAGTCTATGGCCTGCATTAGTCTGTCTTTTACCTGCTCAGTTGGACAGGAAGTGCTTTTTCAGCAGGGCATGTTATCCTGCAAGTGTCTCAGTTAGAGGGGAGAGACAATTTACTAATCACATTTGTTTATGTAAAACCCCAAAAGGAGAAACTGGTTTGCTGGCTGTACTTAAAGGAAGGGCTTCCACACTATGGCCCTCCAGCTGTTGAAGTACAAGTCCCATTCTGCCTGTGGCTGGCAGTCTTGCAAGGCCTCATGGGACTTGCAGTTCCTCAACACCTAAAGGGCCATAGTTTGGAGAGCCCTGACTTGAAGTACTAGCTGGAGTTTGTGACACTAAAGGTTCATATATTTGGACAATGACCTGCTATACTTGGTGTGGTTGCTTTGCACAGAGCAGCCTGGATCCTCTTGAGTCCCTTGCTGGCGCTCCTGGCTCCTCTTGTCGGGGGCACCCGGGCAGGTGTGTTCCCAAGCCGCTGCTCCGCGTATGTTCACACCCAGAGCTGTGGCTTGGCCCCACCATCCCTACTCTTTGGCTGTAACTGACAGCAGCTAATGGCTTCCTCTTGCTGTCTCCAATGAGGAGGTAAAGACCTAAGACAGCCAAGGCTGTTGTCCACATTACTGGATCGAGATTGGGCTCAGGTAAGTATTGAGGGGCGGGGGGCACTGCTGCACTGAGAGTTTTCTCTTTTGTCCCCAGAAGAGTGGGAACTCTTCCAATGGGGTTACTAGTTCTGGTGACCTGGGGGTCCCCAAGGAATCACCTTAATTTGCAGGGATTTCCTCACTTCCTGTTTGGCTATGGGACAGGAACTGAAGGGAAATCTCCAATGGGACATAGATGGCAAAATGATGATAGGTAAATCCCCCCCCCCTTTCTCCAAAATGAAAATAAAATGAGTTCTAATTTAAGCTAAATGTCCAGGCTATGGAACTAAGGCTAGGTTCACATCTGTGCGGGTGGTGCTGCTGCAGATCGGCGCAAAAATCAGTGCAGCCACTCCACCCGCACAGAGGAGTGCGGACCTGCGGGCGGGTGCTGTTCTAACGGCACGCCGCCTGCACTGGAAGACATGACTGTAGTGGGAACCGAGGTTCCTGTGCAGACTGCATTTTCAGAAGAGCAGGGACTTATTCCATGAGTGGCACAGGAGTTTATTCAAATGAATGGACTCTCATGCCTGTGCAAAGCATGGCCGCGTATGTGAACCATATATGGCTGGCACAGGATGACATCACTCCTGCACATGGGCAGGACATCATTCTGGCCCACAGGGATCCTGACAGCTTCTGTAAGCTGAGCTGCACAGCTGCTTACATGTCAGGGAGTGCTGCAAACAAGCAGGGGAGTTGTATTGCAGCAAAAAAACCAGCTCCGTTAAATATACAAAAAGCACTGCTGTGGTTCATTGACATGCAGTCCTGTCCTGTGTGCAACAAAATGCACATGCCTGCATCTTACAGCTCTGGGCTGCATTGCAGTGTGAATAGGACACATGATTCTCTAGTGCAGAAAAACACCAGTCACTGCATTGTGTGCACTACCCTGAAAGCTTACCAGAACAATTGGTTGCAATGTAACCCCCCCCCCCACCCAAGCTGACATCCTTAGAAATGTATTTACCTTACTTTTTTTCCATCCAGCTCCACTTGGTCTAGAATGAAATTTCATTTTCATTGGATACTGATGTCCACGTCCTTGCCTGGAGCCATTACCTTCTAGTCATAGATTTGTGCTGTTATAAATTGGGGAGGATTCTTCATATATATGTGCTGTTATAAATGGGGGGGGGGGGGGGGGGATTCTTCATAGATGTGTGCTGTTGTAAATTGGGGAGGATTCTTGGTCATAGATATGTGCTGTTATAAATTGGGGGGAGGGCTTGTTAGTATGTTGTATCCGGAGTAAATGGCTTAATTTTGCTTAGTGATTAGGGGCTTGTATTTCTGTACATGCTCCACATGGGGGGCTTCAGCCTTTTCATCCTAGTGATCAGCTGACAAGTGAGGGAAGTATCCAAAACTGACTTTCCACCAGAAAAAGGAGTAGAGATCTTCCAATGGGGAACTCTTGTTCCTGTGACGGAGGGGATTTCCTCCTATTGGAAAGCTCTCTTCCTGTTTACAGGAAGGTCTCTCTAATGAGACATGGGGGGGGGGGGGAGAGGACAGGGGTCTTCACTATTCCCACTCTAACATCAAAGAGTTGTCTGTAGTCTTTTTGTTTGGTATGGGGCTGTATATGGAGGGAGTTTGGTGTGACCTGCCTGTGTCGGTATCAGTTGCACAGCTATAAAGGTATTCTGGGATTATCCTGTCATCTAGCCAGCTTCTTTTCTCTTATCTGCTTGACTGTGTCTGAGTTGCTTTATCTCCCAAATCCCTACACTTCTGCCATGAGAATACTTATTGCTGGCATCTAGATCATTGTCAGTATGGGTGCTGCATGTTAAAACACTGCAGTGTTTGTTCTGACCTTAATGATCACATTACCACCCTGTTCTCCGCCCTGTCTCAAAATGAAATTAAATTGTATTATTGCTTGATGCAGGCAAACTTGGGCTTCTTGAATTTAGCATGCTTGTGTCTCTGGTTTGGTGCCTCTACAGAGCTAAGGCCCTATCAAAAGTGGTATCTGTATTTTAGGTCTGGGACATGTTGGAGTGAAGGGGGGTGCAGATGTAAAATGGCCTTTGCATGCTGCCACATGCAGTTCTGTAACTGCAGGCAGTGTCTGTTTAATGTTTCACATTGACTTGGAACATTTTCATTTCAATGTTGGCATTGAGTTAACATGGATCTTGCCTCATAATGTACTTTGACCTTGGAAGGTTAGATTAGTATGTACTATGACCTTGCGAAGGTCAGATCAGTAAAGCATATCAAAGATGCTGCAGTCCATGGATTTGCAGTCAGGGCACGCCTTTAAAAAGTGAGTAGTCTTTTGGTTGGATATGCACGGTCTGCCAAGGATATCCTCTCCATTAAACTGTCCCACATTGTTTTCTTTTCTTGAATCTTCTGACCGTGTTGGAGGAATGAAACTTTTGTTGGGAACAAGCTTCCTTGTCCCAAAAATGTGTACTAAGATCAGTCAGGCTATGTAATTGTCATGTGAGTTTTGGTAATGTGTCTTGTGCTGGTCGGCACTTAAGGCATCAGCAGAATCAAGACTCCCTATTAAAGGGGATGCTTGGGTTTTAAAAATACACTACTACATGCTGCATTATTGGTGTGCTGCTGCAGCTGTTCCCAGCTATTTCTGATCAGCAGTCATGTGATAACATTCTCAAGCTTAGTCAGGTCTGGGAGGAGAGCAGTGACTATTGATCACTACTCTTCACTGCGCTCACTGAAGAGGGGGTGGATACAACTTGCTCTGCCTTGGCTGTGTGCTGCCTGACTACTCCAGCTCTCAGCAGTATACCCAACAACGATTGGGTTCCTTCCAGAGCCTGGAATGATTTATTTTAAAATTAGCTTTCTTTGGCCCATTGACTGATTCTGGGTCACAAGAGTGCAAAAGTGCTGCCCTCTGACAGAAGAGGTTTGACCATACTTTTTTCTTTTTAAAGAAATCTTCTGCAAACAGTTGTCAAACCATGGGAGGTAGCAAATCTGTCATATTTGAGATGGCTGAAATGTAAAAATATTGGATGGTCAGCTATGGTCTTGTGAATTAACAGTTTTGAAGCAATGGACACATCATACTAGGGATGCACTGAAATTTCAGTGGCTGAAATTTTTAATCCAAAAACACCCATCAGCCAGTATGGGGGAAAATGAAGCACAAATACAGGTGCCGAAAAAGCTGGCCACAGCTCGGTAGTTCTCAGCTTTACCTGAGAAACAATCGATCCTGAGTACAGATTAGTGAAGGAAATATGGCCTCCACTAAACTCTGCCCTTGGAGGACTGGAGTGATGCTGCTTCCAATGTTTAGTTTTTTGTTTATCCAATGCTTTACATTGCAGAGGAAATGTGGGGTCTTATTGACCACATCTCTCCATAAAGAGTATCAGTCACTAATTTTTATCACAAGCAATGCATACATTTGTTGTGATTAAACTTTTTAAACGTATTTAATTTTTTTTTTTTGCACTGTCCCTTTAAAAAAATGTTTTAAAGTGCCCCTGTGCTTGCACATGGTGGTGAATGCATACGTAGGCCATGCCCACATGTGTAAATGGTGTTCAAGCCACACACGAGGTATTGCCACAAATGTCCAAGAGCAATAATTCTCACACTAGACCTGTAAGGTTACACTGCTAACCTGTAGAAATTTTTAAAGCCTCACCCATGGAGATTACATACTGCAGTTTCACACTATTGCGTGTGCAATTTTAAAGCGTGACATGTTTGGTATCTACTCGCTGTAACATCCTTTCATATTTTACAAAAATTGGGGTATACATTTTTAATCGGTGCATTTTTTCCAAAAAAATATTTAAACTGCGCTTATTGGTTTTTGGCCGAGTGTTTTGAATTTTTGGCTTCAGCACCAGAATTTTCATTTCGGTGCACAACTACTTCATACTACAACTGTTAACATTTGTAGATCTCTGGCCTAGGTATAGAACTGCCAAATACAACACTTTATGAACGGTGTGCATCCTCATGGCCAAGGGTCTTCACCAACATATTGCTTGGTTACAGAAGTAGCACATGGGAAAGCCTCTGCAGTATTGAGGGATGAGATTCTGCTCCTGAATGTCTTGGCATAGTTGCTGGGATGCCATGAGGTACTTTTCAGTATTAGTGGTGGAAATTCTTGGAGAGCACATGAGCTAAATATGGTTTGATCCCTGAATGTTATCCAGCATACAATATGCTGTCTCAAGACCTATTAAATATTCATGCTTGCTTTAGTAAAACAGACATGTTTGCATCTGAAGGAACCTGCAAGAGTAAAGTCTTTTGACATGACCTGTGTTTGGGCAGGAAACATGGAGTTCTCTGCTCTAGCATGCTTACTTGCAAGGTCTTGTTTGTGGTATTTAGATCTGACAGCCTTTCATGTGTAATGCTGTTCCTGGATCAGAGGTGCAAGAAGCTCTTGTATTGGCTGACAGGGCAAGCATAAGATGCTGGGCTGGTCTTTCCTACTGGTGAACAACCAATTTCCCAAGGAAATTCAAAAAAGCATAGGCAGCCAAATTTCATTTTTTTGCCAGTCTTTCTATGTACTATAGCATTGCCAAGCTTCACTTGGCAACTTGCATTGAACCATAGTACCAGATCATCTTTCCACGCTTTCCTTCTACATTTTTAGACTAACCCCCCCCCCCCCCCATTCCTTGCGGTACATAATGGGCTGCTAGCACCTAATTTCATGTGCTTTACTTCAATATTCATGCTTGCATCTATGGGTAGCCCAAGCCTTTGCATGCTTGAGATTCAAATGTGCATACCTTAATGCTAAGTGACTGCCAGAGTGCCTACTGCCTACGATGCAGATTCACTTTGAGGGTTGGTGCATGTAAATGTTTCAGTGTCTGGTATGCCTTGCTGTATACATTTTTACAAGGTGTACTTGAGCTCGCAGGTAAGGATTTGCTGTTATGGAGGCCATATAGAAAGGACTAAGCAGTGTTTTGTCTGGGAATTCTGCTTTTAAAAATAGCAGTGCCCTTCCTGGTAGGTTAGGGTGGCTAGGCACTCTTGTACCTACTGCTGCGTAAATGTATGAGGCAGCAAAGCACTCTGCCAAGATGGGTGGTAAGATGGTAATGGGGAAAGATAAACTGCAGGGAGAGAAGGTCATTGAGGCTAGTACTCTATGTTTGACTGTCTCATTGTGAGAAAATAAAACTGCATTGAAATTGACATAAATTAGCAGTGTATAGTTCAAGAGCATCCACTGCTCAATCTGGTGCCCCCTTCCCCAATGCAGATACATATAGCACTGGCTGTGGGAGTCAAATCGGCCCTCTGCAAGTCCATGCTGGGGAGCTGCTTCACTTAACATGAGTATGTTGGGGTGACATCCTGGGCAGACACTGGCAGCATGTTTTGTTTGTGGATAAAGCTTGACAAATGATTCATGTGTGAAACCTTTGTACTAATGTGTAAGTACCAGTGTCTTGGTGTCTGCCTCCTGTACAGCAGACTTCCAACTAAGGCTCCATTCACATTAGGGAGTTTTAAATCGCAGGCAGAATTGCCATGTGTGATAAAATGAAGATATGCAGTCACATTTGGAGGTGCCATTCATTTCAAGGGAACCTGAAAATGTGGGGCATTTTTCTGCACAACAAATGCACTGCGATCGCACAAACAATTGTAGGATGTGCAAAAATGGTTTAGGAATACTGTGATTTTTGTATGCATGATCGTTGTTTGTTGCATGGAAAACCACACCACAATTGTGGCAAAAAAAAATGCCCCATGTTTTCAGGTGCCATTGAAATTAATGGCACCTCCAAATGCATTGCTGTTACACTGTTTTAAAATCACAGGCAGAATAGGTGATTCGACCTGTGATTTGAAATGCCCTAATGTGACTAGCGTGCTGGTGGGAGAAGGCGTGAAGTGTTTGTACAACTAACATTCTTGTTTCTGAAAGTAGAACGTAGCTGGCTAATGTGAGGATGCAGGTCTTTGCTATGTCAGTCTTGCTGTTGGAGGGCCTTGGTTCTGCTATTGACCTCCAGTGCTCTAGGATCCTACACGAGAGAGCATACCAGAGCCTTTGGGAAACTGGGAGCAGATTCCAAGCTTTGGTGTGTGGTGGGGGGGGGGGGTTTACTTGTTGACACCACTGTAGTTGGCTGGACATTGAACAACTTTTGCTAAATATTCAAGCTGGTATTTACCATAGTTCAGCTAACCTGTTTCAGCTTATTGTGTTGCACAATGCTAATATGTGCTGTAAATCTGTCTGACATGGGACTGTACAGTAGCCTATAATGGACACATGCTAGATTAAGGTACTATGAAAACCACTCGGTACTAAAAGACTTTGATCAAAGGTTTGTTCAGTGCAAACACTGATCTTTGTACTGGGGGTTTTCTCCATTGCTGAAGGTGTCTGCTAGCCTAAATCCTCTTGTTTGCTTTTGGTGCCTTTAATCTATACTGGGAGGCTACACATGTTCTTCAAATGAAGTCAACACGCTGTAAGACCTGTTCACCAATGAATCAAGGCAGCATTAGAGCTCCCTAATAACATAATCTGCTATGAACATGTGCGTGTCTACCCTTAATGTTTATAAGCCTGTAGACTCTGGGCATGGTGTAGTGAATAGCAGTTACTTATGACCTACTATTAAAGTTATGTGCCACATGCCAGCTTAAGTAAACAGGCTTCCCATCTCATTCCAGTCCTGTATCCTCTGGCACAAGTGTGCCAATCAGTCTAACCTCTTGTAACCAAATATAAACACTTCTGACTTTTTTTTTTTTTTTCTCCTTTTGCAGCTGAGATTTGATGTTTGTCCAAAGACCTGTGGTATGTATGACACTTTATCTGTTTTACGGGGCTAGTGACACTGCATTCTCATATTGGCATGCTGTATGTGGTGGGGAGGTTTAGGGGCAAGGTTTAGACTTTGGTTGCTCATTCATTAGTGGTTGCCAGATTCCTTAAACATTACAAGTTTATTTACTTCACCTAATGTGAGCTTCTCATTTGGCCCCTTTCACACTAGCAGACCAATTTGGGTGTTTTACCTCAGACCCTCCAATCTCCTGAGTAGCATATGTAAATGGTCATGTCCATTTTACACCCACCTACATTTGATCCTAGCCACTAAAGACAGGCTGAGGATTGTTTCCCTATCCATCAGATAAATGTAAACTTGCTACCTGTCTGTCACACCCAACTGCCCATAGACAGGGCTGTGTCTTGCTCTGCATAAGCAGTGGGTAGACCAGCCATCTGCTTGTTCAGCAGGGGATCAGCAGACAGACCCCTGCTGAGCAAGCTAACTCAACAGAGCCTACCCCATGTGGAAGGGGCCTTATAGTAATGTTTTTGTTAAGCTTTGCAAGAGTTTGCTTAAGAGTTTAATATTGCATTAGCAGTCAATTGGGCTGTAAATTGTTTTTTATATTTTTTTTTCTGGTACTTGTATAGCACCAGCCATCTACACAGCACTTTACATATATATTGTACATTCAAATCAGCCCCTAACCCTCAAGAGGTGTACAATCTATGGTCCCTAACTCACATTCACATTGATATATACATATGAAGAGCTAACACTTGTTAGGCTACATCAGTGTTTCTCAACTACAGTCCTCATGGACCCCCAACAGGTCATGTTATCAGGATTTCCCTCAGATGAAACAGCTGTGGTAATTACTAAGGCAGTGAAACTGATCAAATCACCTGTGCAAAATGGAAATCCTGAAAACATGACCTGTTGGGGGTCCATGAGGACTGGAGTTGAGAAACACTGGGCTACATCCAGGCAGACCTTTTCAAGTGAATATAAATGCCAAGGTGCCCAGTCCCCTACCTAGCAAAGTGGCTTGCAGTCCCTAGTTTTACACAAACTGTACACTAGATTTCCTGTGTTTGAATACATTTAATGTTCTGAGAATTTTCATACAAAATGTTTAAAGGTACTTCAAACATTTTTTTTTTTTTCTATTCAATTGACTCTTCCAAAAACCCTTTTCATGGTGATTTAGTGAACTCGCAGCAGAAGCTGATCTGAGTCCTGGTGAACAGATCTTCACTGTCACCTACCAGACCTGCAGATTGTTGGGCAGAGTAAGAATAGAGCTGTGCCTATGTTTGTGAGGGGAGTCATGGATCATACCCCTGCAGAGTTGGGAACACTTATCAATCACGTCCCCTTTAGTGTTTTACAGAACTCCTAGGAGTTTTTTTTTTCTTTCTTTTTTTTGTGCCACTGTGCATGGACCCTTAAAATATGCCAATAACATTTTTAATCTGGACAGTTGGCACTGTTTTTCATTTGCATGGTAAATTGGTTTACAGCCATACTAAAGTGTAGCCACCCCCCACTGTCATGTTTGAACAATAGTCTAACATGAGCCCTTCCTTATCTGGGGTTTATTCTATAAGTGCACGGTCCTTGCTCTGTATTAAAGGGGCTGTCAGGCCATGGCAGATAGCAGCAGTCTGGCTGTTGCATAATGGTGGGGGGACAAGACTTTATGGCTGTGGGCTGCTTTACATTCTAAATGTTCAGCAAATGGCGTCGACTTTCCCCTAATGAACAAGGAAGCTTGAATCTTTTTGGTTTAGTGGGCTTCAAGGCCCGCCACACAATAATTGGCTTCACAGAACGTTTCATGCTAGGGCCATGTCTTTATGGAGTCTGATCAGGCTCTGATGTCAATGTGGCTTCTGTAAGTGTAAAGGTCTGGCTGACTTCAATATGTAGTCAGCCTGGGAGCTGAGCTAAACAGTTGTCCTGTTGATATAATTCAGCTAAATTTAGTATGACTGTTTTAATTTCTACAGAGAACTTCCTTCAGTTGTGCACTGGAAAACCAGGATTTGGTTACAAAGGCTCTTGCTTCCACAGAATCATCCCAGACTTCATGTGCCAGGTATGATTGCTTTCCTTAGTGTAAAGCTATACAGCATACCAACCTCTAAAATTCTTCAACCTATTTCTTGCCTTTTCAGCCTATACCCTAATGCTTCACCCTACATTGTGGGTGATGCCTTTCATGCTTTTTTTGCTACCTCCCACAGCCATAGTCTTAACTTATTTGCTTGTAAATTGCACAAATAAAGCGCTTATACTTTTTGGTACCAGGAGTGTATAGTGGAGTAAATGGGGAAGGCTGTGCAAAAAGCAATTTGGCAAAGTGTGCCAATGCAGTGGGAAAAACCAATGTTGGTTGAGCACATGCTGTATTCCAAACTGTAAGTAAGTAGAGGATGACTTAACCAGTTACATTAATATCACATTGTTTCCTGATAGGGTGGAGACTTTACCCACCACAATGGAACTGGTGGAAAATCTATCTATGGAAACAAGTTTGCTGATGAGAACTTTTCCCTGAAGCACACTGGACCAGGAATTCTGTCTATGGCCAATGCTGGCCCTAACACAAATGGCTCCCAGTTCTTCATCTGTACTTCTCAAACAAGTTGGTAAGTTACTATTGCAAATTGTTGACAAAGCACCCTATAAGACTTGGTTCACAATGGTATGACTTGTGCAATTTGACAGTTTCAAATCTAATGACAAGTTGCTCCCTATTGGCAATAGAACCGCTCAAATCGGTGCTACGAAGACTTTGCAGTGCCATGCTGATTTGAGAAGGTTCCTGCACAATTTTGTAATTCCAGGTGTTGCATACACATCTCTGCATGAAGTCGCACAGATGCAACTTTAAAACTTGTGCAATTTCTTCAAGTGAAGTCACATTATTTCAAAGTTTGATTTGGTGTGAACACAGTAAAAGAATAAAACCAAATAAAGTGAATTCAAAGGTTTATCTTGACATGCACTCATGTATCCCTGTTTTGTGACTAGTAACAGGTGGCATTTCATTTGATCAGGATGTAACTGACATTTACTTGAGTTTATTTGGTTAATTGCATGTTTATCTGATGTACTACTCTGCATATGTGCTCCTGAGCCTACTGTATCTAAGGTAAAGACCATAGTTTCTGGCTAACAGTCTGCTTATAATATCTGTAGACTATTGGGTGAAGTTTAAGCCACAAATGTGGCACTCCCAGTGTGTAGAATGGTTAAATGCCCCACCCTTATTTCAAGCTGTAAGATTTGAGACTTTTATAAGATCTAAATGCGGACTATGTGAAAAGCTAGGACCAGATTCTAGTTCCATCCTCGAACTGCCAGATACTTTAGTATAGCTGAGTTGGTATGCATCACTGTAACCAGTCAAGCCTGAAATGCATAAGACTTTGGCAGGGCTTCTGTTTCAGCATGGCTGTAGTGCACCATTTGGCTACTTCTGAGTCTGGGATACTTGCTGGGCTCACAATGCATTTGAACCATACAGTTGCTGCATATTCCTTGCCAGTCATCTCTAAAATTGCTTTAGTGGATTACACCACTCAAGGTACACTTTTCTGTCTCTAGCATTAGAAGGCAGTGGCAGCCAGTGGTTTTAACTTGTCTGCATCAGTCATACTGGAGTGGAGATCTTGAAACTTTTTGCTTATACACATTGAATGGGGGGGTGTAATTCTGTTCCACTGACATTGAGCCATGGAGCTAGTCCCATACTATTGGCTTGCTAGAGTGTTCTACTTATTACTACTGCCATTGAAGTCTTGAATCCACATGCAAATCACAGCTAGAACAAAGCCTAATGCTGGCATCTAGCATTAATGCTTAAAGATGGAAAACAGAAGGCAATGGGGCAGGAAATCGGACTAACTTTACTTCAGCACTGTCTGCACATTATTTTGTATTAGACTGCTAACAAAAATATTTGCAAGTTCGTAGACTCCCTCTGTGGAGGGGGGGGGGGGGGGGGGGGGCACAACTGCCTAGGGTACTTGCATAGCTAGCACTTGGGGTCTGCAATAGAAGCCTGTTTGAGGAGACAAGCCAAAGCTCATATGGTTGGTTCTAGTTCTGTGGATCACAGGACTGCAGTTTGTTCTGTCCTGTCAGATTTTCAATTAATAGGCTGAAGCCGACGGACACCAAGCCAGTCCAGGCTGTGGGAAAACCTGACTTTAAAGCTTGGATCCACCCCATTCTGGAGCAGAACCTGGCTCTACCTGTCAGCAGTCTGGTAGCCTGAGCCAGCTGCTCCCTAACTCTGCACCCCCCCCCCTCCCCCACAGCCCAGCGCACCAGTGACCATAGGGGGTAGAGCAGACAGCAGTGGTGAGAATCAGCTGAGTTCTTGCACTTAAAGCTGGCAGGGGACAGATTTGGCATCAGACCATTGCTGCATCTACTTTAGTGAGTTCATTTTGAGAAACCATCCCATACTGAAGTCATGGGTATATAGGGAGCCAATGTTTGGCAGTGGCAGATGTGCATTAAGTATACTTTTGCTTTTTTATATATACTTGAACAGCTGTTTAATTGCCATTATGATTCCTTTGCAGGCTCGATGGAAAGCATGTTGTGTTTGGTTCAGTTGTGGACGGCATGGATGTTGTGAGGAAAATGGAAAGCTTTGGATCTCAGTCAGGGAAGACTTCTAAGAAACTTGTGATTGCTGACTGTGGCCAGATTTAAAGGAACTTGGAACTTGCATCTTCATCCTAGTCTTAACATCACAAGCATTCCTTCTCAATCTGCTTCAGAATTCTTCAGTCCTTGACTGTCTCTGGAGTTAAATCGCATCTTGCAAAATCCTTGTTTTGTTCATTTTTTTTCACATGTTCTGTTCTTTGCAGAACACACTCTAAATAAAAAAATAAACAATTTACTGGGTCTTGTGCAAATTTATTGCTGCAACTATACCAGGCTGAGCATGCAAATTGTGTAGTGAATATGGGGGCACCAGTGACTAAGTGGTTAGCACTTCCACCTTTCAACACTTGAGTGGTTGGTTTGAATCTCAACCATGGCACGAACTATGTAGTTTGCATGTTCTCCCTGTGCCTGTGTGGTTTTCTTCCCACTCAAGACATGCTGGCAAGTTGACCACTTGCCCTCTAGAGGATTTACCCCCTTGACAGGCAATTTTTTTTTTTTGGCACTGTCTTCAACTGGGTACAGTATTTCACGACTGCACTTGCCAAACAATTTGTCATATTTTTTTTTCATGCAAATGGTGCTTTTTTTGGGTGGTATTTGATCACCTTTTGGCTTTATTTTTTGCACTATAAAACAACCAAAAATGCTGAAACTATTCAATTTTGGTTATATAAAAAATAATCACAAATTTAGGTTAATGTATTCTGCTGCATATCTTCAGTTTAAAAAAAAAAACCTCAAATGTATGTTGGTTTGTGAAGTTATAGCATCTACAAACTATGGTGTATGTATATTGTAATTTTACATAGCTTTTTACTTTGACTGCCTATCACATTTCTTGAGATGCTGAAATGCCAGAGCAGTAAATACCCCAAGGATTTTGCAGAGGCATGTTGAGTGCAATTGAATTCTTTTGGCCACTTTTTTGAATGACTGACTTTTTTCATGGAGTATTGGGATATACCACATGTGAGACTTTTTGGCAGCCTAGCCACATACAGGCCCCCAAAATCCAATGACCACCTCCCAGGCTTTCAAAAGGCATATTTCCCCACTAACTATCAGTTTGTACTAGCCTGGCATTTTAGAGCCTCAAACACCCCATAACCCCTTTTTGAAAAGTAGACACCCCAAGGAATTTGATAAAAAAACATGGTAAGTATTTTACAGATAAGAATTTGTCACAGGGTTTTGAAAGGATCCCACCCCAAAAAAACACATGGCAAATGAGTTCTGCAAAACACTCACCATGCCTATTGGTAAATACCTTGGATTGTCTACTTTCCAAAAGTCATTTGGAGGGGGTTGCTTATAATAGCCCGGCATTTCAGGGCTAACTTTAGAAGCTTATGCCATACACCCATTCTTTAAGACCAAGCCTTTTCTGACTTTTTTTTTTTTTACTTTTTGAACCCCCTAAACATTATTTTCTAGCAGAGGTGCTAGCAAATAAAACAGTGGGTTAATTTTTACATCACAGTATTTGCACTTTTTTTTTCTACTACCCCCCCCCCCCCCCCCCCACTTATCTGTGGTCTCAGACTAGATATCTCCTCTGCACTTACAGAGGAGGTAATGTCCCTTCCTGCTGCTCATAAAAAAATTCAGCAGGTAATTGACCACTAGGCTTGCTTTTACATGAAAGCCAACCACCAGCTGAAACCAGTACCAGAGTGATGCCTGTAGCTGCAGGCATCCCAGTATAACTACTCAGTCCAGCAACGTACCAGTACATTGCATGTCAATGTTTTGCATATATGTAACCAGAGGACATGGGCATACAATGAATCGGCTCTGGACCAATATGACCGTAATTCTTTTTGTAATGGCAATGTTGAGGGTTGGGCCCAAAGTTTTAAATAGAGACTAATAGATTTCCATGTGAATTGTTTGGTAAGAGCTGAATTTGTGTGGGTGGCAATGTATTGTGCATATAAATATATTTGGCCCACAATCAATTGATACAAGTCTGAGAAACAGCAGAGGGGCTTAACTCTAGTCCTGGCAGCAAATGGGGCTGGTCCTTCTAACACTGCATTTTCAGGGACACTATACAAAGGAGGCACTAGTTTAGTTCATACAAACACTATACTAGTAATAGTGGTGATCAGTGACCTATAGTGGGGCATTACAGCATTAGCTGACCCTGGCTGGGTGGGGTTGCTTACTGACCCTGATGCTATCTGATGTTGCTAGTGACTGTAATGGTGATCAGTAAAATTCTATATACTGGCACTGGTTGGGTGATCAAAGGGCTAAATGTGGGGACGCTTAACCATATTGAGACTTTTTTTTTTTTCTCCAATGCAAATCTTTCTCTCATGAATTAAGTTTGACAGCTCAGGATAGTGATCTGGCTGAAGCTGGTCACAGGGTACAGTGATTGACCCCTTGTGGCAGCTGTGGGCCAATCACAGCTCACTAGGAAGAGGAGCAGAGCTGCTATGAATGAGCAATTCATAGCAGCTTTGCTTAAATTGTCATGTGATTGCATAGTGTTCACATAATCACCAGGTCCCATTCACTGGTATCTTCATTCCACTGTGTCTGCTGGACACAGCAGTTGGGAGGGAGCACTGCGTGCCTGTAGCTGCCACAGTACATTGCAGTTAAATGGCTCCTGTCTAAATTGGCCCTAGTATGTATAAACGATTTGGCAACCTTAGATTGTATACTCCTTGAGGGCAGAGACTGGTGTGCATGTTCAACATATGTAAGGTGCTACATAAATTGACAGCACTATATATGTACCTGTAGTAATAAAGGGTGAAGTCAGTACTATCTATTGCATTGCAAAACAGTCATCACATGGGCAGAATTGTTCTGTGTCCATACTGCAACACAGCCTGGAGCTGTGATAAAATGCGGGTATTATGCATACTGTACAGCAGTTCATTATACTGTTCTACAGGTCAATTAACAGAGTGCACTTCTGTAAATGTCAAGGTTTGTACAAAAGCTGTGATGCACTGAATTGTATATCAGACTAGGAGGAAGCTAAAGGGCTTCAGCTGTCCATTTATGTGAATTTGCTCCAAGGCCCAGAACAGTACCTTGAGACCTCAGCTCCTCCCCACCTGAGGAAACACTGCCACTCCCCTCCGACCTCAGTTTTTGGTGTTTCCTCCAGTGGAGACATCTTTGAAGGCCTCTCCAGGTACTGTCGGGACAGCGAGACCTGGTGGGTTTAGGGTGGAGATTATGCAGTGATGGGGTGGAGGCTGGAGAGTCAGCTGCTATCCCCCAGAACACTGCATGGTCAGGGCTGCTGCCTCTAGTGACCGGGGAGGATGCTGCATTGACCTACTTATACTATGCCCTGGCCCCCTCCGGAAGTTTGTGGGAGCTGGGACATCCTCGTGTCGAAGTCTAGGGAGACCGGGGGAGGAGTCACGCTCTTCCCATGCGTGCCAGCCTTGGAGCAGGCCAGATGGCGGGGGATGTCATTTCCGGCGTAAGGGGCAGGGCTTCTTCTGGGGTCATGGCTTCCGGCAGTGGCCCTGAAGACACGGGGCAGTGGTGAAGATGGCGGTGCTGTATCCTGTGGAGACATCAAGGTAACCACCCTCCTGAAACATGTCCGGAGCAGAGGCGCTGGGACCAGGGGAGGCCAGGCACAGGTAGGTGACTCTGAGTCTTTCCTACCTGTGGGCCCCTAGCTCCAGGGGGTGTTCCCGGCCCTCTTTGTGGTCAGAGGTGCCAGGGCGGGAGGGGGCAGAGAACCCAAGGTCAGGCCCCCTACTCTCTGCCAGGGAGAAAATTGGGGGGGGGGGGGGGGAGCTGGGCAGGTGGCTTGGATGAAGGGTAATAGGTTCCCTAGATCTCCTTGTTTATGCATGGTAAAGCCTGTGAAAAACTCAAGCACCAGGTGCCTAAACGGATGTGCCCGTCATGTAGGGCAGCCCTGAAAGATTTTTGGAAAAGGGCTATGTGGGCCCTGTATTGAGGCGTTAGGGAGGAGAGTCCATCACATGGGAACTTGGTTAAATCAGAGAAACTAATACCTTTCACGCCTTCAAATCACTAGTTGAGGATTTGGCGTTACCCCTGGCCACGCCCCATCCACCCAGCAGGTGCTTCCTTCAACTAGTCTAGGGATGGAAGGCCAGGACGCTGCGGAGGGTGAGCCATCCCTGGACTCCCAGTCTGAGGATTTTGAAGGGGAGGGGCCCCTCAGACGATCCCAGTGGCCCCTCTAGATACAAATTGTCCCCTCTAGATACAAATTGTCCCTGGAGGAGGTAGACTACTTGTTGGGGGCTATTTATGCCAAGCTGGACATTAAAGAGGATAAAAAAAAACTCGCTGCACAACCAGTTGTATCAGGGTATGGAAGAGCAAAAGCGGAGGGTTTTTCCCGTTCACGAGGTATTGGTGGATACGATAAGAGTAGCAGGATCCTGAGAGGAAGCCCTTTTTTGCTAAATCCCTTAAACGCAGATTTCCGTTCGATGAAGATCCGTCTGCTTTGTGGAATAAAAATCCCAGGCTGGATGCTGCATTTTCCCAAATAGCTAGAAGGATGGACTTGGCTTTTGAGGATATGGGGGTTCTATCAGATCTTATGGACAGGAGGGCAGATTCCCTCCTTAAAAAGTCCTGGGAATCTACCTTGTCCAATTTGAAGCCCGCCATGGCCACTACAGTAGTGGCCAGAAACATGGAATACTGGCGCACGCAATTGCACATCATGGCTGATTCCCCTAAGGATAGGATCCTAGCATCTTTTCAGACGTTACTACAGGGAGTAGGTTACATTGCGGATGCTTCGGCGGAGTCTGTGAGGTTGTCCACTGGGTCAGTGGCCCTTACCAATAGGTCCCTATGGCTCAAAATGTGGCAGGGAGATATTGCCTCTAAAGTTGTGTGGCATTCCTTTTACAGGAGATCTCCTGTTTGGCCCAGGATTGGAGACTGCTAGATTGGCGGAAGGAAGAAGTCCTTTCCTCTTAAGCGGAAAATGCAGGAGCAGGGGGGAAAGAAGTTTCGTCCCCCAAAGAGGATGCAGGTCCTTAGGCCAGAGGGTCAGAAAAGGC